ACACACACAAACACACAAGCACACACACAAACACACACAAGCACAAACACAAACACTAACAAACAAACAAACACGCAAACTATCACAAATGCACGTGCGCTCACACCCATACACACTCTCTTGCACATCCTCTCTTCCACACATATTATTATGTAGCCTACTCATACACACACGACAGTAAGCTTGCACTCACAAACAGACTTGCAATCACACACCTAAAAATATAGAGACAAAAAAATGATTGTTAACAATGATAGTATTTAATTAAGCTATCCCACCCTTTGAGGTAGGCCTACTTTTTAAAAGTCATTTGAAAATGCTGATGGTGACTTAGGCCCTAGGCTTTCTCAGTCCTTAGGCCCATTATATTATATCAGTACCGTGCATTTGATACAACCTCATTTCTTGGTGGTGACGCATTTTGGATATATAAAAAGTAGGAAAAAGGTTGCCCGAAACGAACGTTATCGGTATTTGGGGGGAGGGGTGCTTTTTATTTTTGACAGGTCGTGACATTTTACGACAATATGCGTGCCAATATTCGAAGACACCCCCTTTTTTTTTTAAAGAGAGGGCTTCCCCAAGTAGGTTGCTCTGGGTCTACCCCTGCCTCGCTGGCCCAGTACCTGTAGCAGCATACCCACTAATAACAATAATAACACTATAGCATAGTAATAGTATTATTGTTCTTTTCTGGTTGGGGTGGGGAGGGGGTTATAATGGAGGGTTATCTGGAGCAAAAATTGATATTATATCTAACCGATTTTTATTTTTTTTAATTGGGGGGGGGGGGACGGGGGAGGGGGTCGTAGCCAAGACAGGCTTGATTTTTTTCTCTGTATGAAACAGCAATTGGTAGCTTAAAAGATGAAAGCTTCAGATTTCAGGAACTGTACTGCAACTTTTTTTCCTGGCATCGATGCTGCTTCATCCTGTCGGGCTCAGAAACGAAATCGATTCGGGACTTGCATCCAATTAGACCGTAATTTGGGGATTTCGGGAGAAATCAGGGATTTATAAGCCTATTTGAACAAATTTTCCTCCTCTTCCTCCTCTTTTTTTGTGGTCCCTCTTTTCTTCGCCTGTCTCTGGGATCGAAATTATTGAATGTTTGAGAACTGCAGCCCGCTTGTATGTCTCTCTCTCTGTCTCTCTCTGTCTCTCTCTCTCTCTCTCTCTCTCTCTCTCTCTCTCTCTCTCTCTCTCTCTCTCTCTCTCTCTCTCTCTCTCTGTACTGGACTATCATTTCCTGGTCTGTTTGAAAATGTGACGCCCCCCCTCCCCCCTCCCCTTCCCTTCCATCCTCAAACACACACGAGTGCGTACACACACACACACATACACACACACACACACACACACACACACACACACACACACACACACACACACACACTTGCACACATGCAATCATACGCACGACAAAGCTCTGCTTTTCATTAACAGATTTTGAGACGTTGTGGGTCTGTTGGGTTTTTGGAGTGGGATTATTTTTGGGGGGCGAGGGTTTGGAGGCGGGGGGAGGGGCCTGGAGTATTTATGTTTTGTTCTGGGGGATGCACGACGACGGGGGGGGGCGCGGATTTTGAGGGACTAGGGGGACTTGGGGGAGTGAGTAGCGTAGTGTACGTAACAGCAAACAACTGCTGCGCGCCTGGTAGACTCACTACGGTACATCGAGTGCCGCAGTGCCCTGAGAAATGGCAAACAGCTGAAGCATCACAATGGCTCACGCACGCGCTGGGAAATGAAGAACGGCTAGATAAACTGACAAACCGACAAACCAGGGGCAACGGAGTCCTCTGTGCTGCAATGGTTAGGCTCTTAGCCGTAACACACTAAAGACTTGACTTCCATTCCCGTCTGGGGAAATCTATTTTGAGTAGGCCTACATAGCGTTACCTCAGAATACAACAAAGTTCTATCTGCTCAGTACCTAATTTGTGGAGATCTGACGTCATTAGGGTTTAGTTTCACAACCTGTCAAGCTTTATTTCAATGCAATTCTTTAAATATCCTGATAACGACTCCGAACAATCTTACGATTTTGATAGAGCAGATAGATAGAGCCTTTTGTTTCTGGTCTCAAGGTCTCGAGAACTCAAAACGGCCGAAAATATCAGATAGAACTCTGTAATTCTGAGGTAGCGATATACCGAGCGATCTTTTCGCACGAAAGTTCTAGTCTCTCCTTCTGAGAACGGGCAGATTTTGGCAGGCAAGGCCGAAGCAGTCTGTCTCTTGAATATTAATATTACCATACTATGTCGACTAGGTTTTCTCTTACCTCCAAATCTAAGCATTACCCCCCCCCCCCCTTCTGCGCGTACACACACACACACACACACACACACACACACACACACACACACACACACACACTAACACACACACACACACACACACACACACACACACCCGCGCGCGCACTCACAATTTACTTGAGATAAATTTATAGCAAATTTGTGGAAGCCAGGGTTTAGACAAGTTCTATTCGACCCCTGTGAGCTGGGCAGGGTCCTTTAGTGTCATTTCAAGAAGCCCCAGGGGCTGTGGCGAGATTGTCTTAAACTGCTGCTCACAGCCATCTAGGCAGTGCAAAGTAAATCCAACATAATTTCCAGATTGACAATCAGATCTCAGCTGCCAGTTGTGTCAAAGGTTAGTGAGTCGTCTCTTGAAAAAAAACAGGTCACTTTGATGCTGAGGTTGCTTTTGTGGGGTTTGTTCGTTTTGTATTTTTTTTTTTTTTTGGTGGTTTGTTTGTGGGTTTTTTTGTTGTTTTTGATTTTTT